CAGGTGTGGACCGTTCACACCTTTTGGTGTCCCGTGACAACACATCTGGACCACAGCAGGGCGTGCTTTATGCCAGGGGTGTCCAACTCCAGGCCTCAAGGGCCGGTGTCCTGCAGGTTCTAGACCTCACCCTAGGTCAGCACACCTGAATCAAATGATTAGTTCATTACCATGCCTCTGAAGAACTATAAGGCATGTTGAGGAGGTCATTTAGCCATTTAAATCAGTGGACACTTCTAAAACCTGCAGGACAGCGGCCTTCGAGGACTGCAGTTGGACACCCCTGCTTTATTCAGACTGTGACTCGATAAAGAAGCCGATGCAGTTCTGGCCACGGATCAACCCAGAGGCGTCTTTATTCTGGAGGACGTCAGTGGACACAGACAAATAACCTGGATCGTGGGCAGTATTGTGTCTCGTGTTCAGCAGGTGTGTGATAGCGAGTCATGCTCACAGATCACGACTCAGAAAAACATCAGCTGATGTTTCAAACCATCGAGCTGCTCAAGTGAAGCATCTGATGATGATGATGATGATGATGATGATGATGATGATGATGATGATGATGATGATGATGATGATAAGGAGGAGGAGGAGGAGGAGTTGTGATGGAGGTGGAGGACAGCTGTCTGATCAGCTGATGATGTCACATGTCTCCTCCTACAGGATTTAATCCTTCGCCTCCCATCTGGGTCCCCGCCATGGGGGTGGGGTTTTTAAGACACTGGAGCAGACAGTCTGCCCCCACCCCTACCCCCCGTTTAACCCTAACCTGCCCCCTAAATCCCCTGAACTGAACTGAACCCCCCGAGGCCTCTGCAGGTCATGAGAGCTGCCCCCCCCTCCCTTCCATTCTGCGGTGTGATGTCACACGCCGCTCTGACCGTGAACTTCACGGTTTCATGGTGCTGACAATGGATTCCCCACAGACACGGGAGGTCTGAGCCCTGAGAACCAGACTGTTACCCTGCCTACCCCCTTCCAGGTCACATGTCTGCATCTGCCGCCGACCCCACCCCCCACCCCATCCCACTACTGCTAATCACGCCAATTAACAGTCTGAGTTTTGTTTACCAGCTCGATTTTTACCAGAGTGCTCAGGTGTGCCAATCAGACCCCCACAGACCTGCACAGACCCCCCACAGACCCCCACAGACCTGCACAGACCTGCACAGACCAGCACAGACCCCCAGAGACCCCCATAGACCTGCACAGACCCCCACAGACCCCCACAGACCTGCACAGACCTGCACAGACCAGCACAGACCCCCACAGACCTGCACAGACCCCCACAGACGTGTACAGACACCCACAGACCCCTACAGACCCCCACAGACCTGCACAGACCTGCACAGACCAGCACAGACCCCCAGAGACCCCCACAGACCTGCACAGACCCCCACAGACCCCACAGACCCCTACAGACCCCCACAGACCTGCACAGACCTGCACAGACCAGCACAGACCCCAGAGACCCCACAGACCTGCACAGACCCCCACAGACCCCCACAGACCTGCACTGACCTGCACAGACCAGCACAGACCCCCACAGACCTGCACAGACCAGCACAGACCAGCACAGACCCTAACAGACCAGCACAGACCCCACAGACCTGCACAGACCTGCACAGACCTGCACAGACCCCCAGAGACCAGCACAGACCCCACAGACCAGCACAGACCCCACAGACCTGCACAGACCTCCCATCAGCTCTTGGGCGCTCTGGGTCATCAGCTGACTGACAGTCTGGAGAGTTTCTCGCTCTCGACACATCATCAAGTTCAACAACAAAACACACTGAGCGCGCTCAGTCTACTGCATAGAAATGAGTCTGATGAATATGAACGTGACCTTCTGTCCTCATCACACACACACACACACACTGTGGTTTCATAGAGATGGGAACTTTAAACCAAACTGGAGTTCAGAGCCTCACAGACACACTGGGACCAGTTAAAACCAGTTTATTATGTTTTACTGTCCAGAAAGGAGCCAAGAAAACACCTGAGAGACTGTAAACAAACAAAGAGAGGAAAACAATGATGGAAGAAATGAAGGCATAATCAAAGATATAAAGAAGAAAGGAAGGAATAATAGGTGACCTTTCAAAGTTAAAGGAAGAAACAAAAGGAGGCATTAAAGGAAACAGGAAAAGGAAAGGAAGGATCACAGAGAATTACAAGGAATGAAGAAAATCAAGCTTTTATTGCTGTTTTTCATTTTACTGTCACGTGACTTCATGTCTTCTCATTCTGAGCTATGACATTTTTTCAGATCTTTCATTTGTTGTTTTCTGAATGAGCTCTGCCTCATCACACGCTATTCTGTAATCTAACTGGTTTAGTCAGTGTGAGTGTGAGTCTGACCTGAGCAGCAGAGTCCCTCCAGCAGCAGCAGCAGCGTCCAGCTCCACGTCTTCTTCATGCTTTAGGTTAAATCCAGAACATCAGATGCACGCAGGTCTCAGCACTGCTCTTCTTCCTTTGCACCTTCTTCTTCTGAATCTGAAACCTGTGCAGCTCACATGCGCTGCTGAACTCTGCAAGTCTGACTTCAAATTGAGCCTGCACTCAGGGGCTGAGGGGGAGGAGCCTACAACGGGGGGCGGGCAGGGAGGAGAGAGGAGGTGGGAGGAGGGGAGTATGGGAGAGGATGGAAATCAGGAAACCAGACCAAGGAAATGAAGGAAGGGGTTCTGCTGGCTTTATTTTAGTAGAAGTCTGAATTGGGTGTGCAGGTGTGCTGCAGGCAGGTCCTCACCTGTACCTGCTGCTGAGGTGCAGACGGTACGTGTTTGAAGACAGCAGCTGATAAGGCGGCACTGACAGCGGTTTTTTGGTTCAGTCTAAACGCCCACTTCCTTCAGCTCAAACATCCTGCTGTGGTCTCACTCTGTCCAAACGAGCACTTTAACAGGACAGAGTACAGGTGGAGGTGGAGGGGGCAGTCAGCAAGTGTAAGAATTCAAAGAACTGAAATTTAAACAGAAAGTGGAACACAGGGTCAAAGGTCAGATACTCATGTAATAACAGGAGAAAGTGGGGCAAAGAAACAGAAAGGAGGAAGTAATCACAGGGTTAGACACGCAGCCAATAACAGAGCAGATCCAGGGCAGCGTGGCAGGTGTCTCAGTGAAGACGGACAAGCTGAGAGCTTCCAGCTTTGATCCCACAGGTGAGCTGATCAATCTACAGGTGAGTGTTACACTGTTATTGTGTAACACTCACCTGTGATTTTAACTCGTCTATCCGAGTTAAAATCCTGGTTTACCTCTAATTTTCTAAAGCTCAATGAGGATAAAACTGAGATCCTCCTTATTGGCACCAAATCAACCTTTTGAAGGCGAACCATTTCTCACTTACCATCGATAACTCCACAGTTTTCCCTTCTCCTCAGGTTAAGAGCCTTGGTGTCATCCTAGACAGTACACTTTCTTATAAATCACACATCAATAACCTCACCCGTTCTGCCTACTTCCATCTACGTAACATTAACAGATTGCTTCCTTCTCTTTCCACCCAGTCTACGTCCATTCTTGTACATAGTCTTGTTACCTCCCGTATTGACTACTGCAACTCTCTTCTGCATGGTCTCCCCCAAAAATCCCTCCATAAGCTTCAACTGGTTCAGAACTCTGCTGCTCGCATTATCACCAGAACCCCTCCTACCAGCACATCACCTGTTCTTCAGGAACTTCACTGGCTCACAGTGAAAATCCAGATAATATTCAAACTTCTTCTACTCACCTTCAAGGCCATTCATAACCTCGCTCCTTCTTACCTTTCTGACCTGTTAACCACCACCTGTTCTGCCCGCTCACTTCGTTCTTCTTCTTCTATCCAGCTTACTGTACCTTCCTTCCGCCTCACCACCATGGGAAGCAGAGCTTTCAGCTGCTCTGCTCCCAGGCTGTGGAACTCTCTGCCCCCTGAAATAAGAAATATTGGTTCTCTCCCCCAGTTTAAATCCCAACTCAAAACTCATCTGTTCAAATCTGCATATTCACTGTGAATCCACTGTTTGTTCATTTTATCTTGTGCTTTATTTTATTGTTCTTATTCTGCCATTGTTTTACTAAGTGTTTTATCCTATTGTAAAGTGTCCTTGGGTGACTTGAAAGGCGCTCATAAATAAAATTTATTATTATTATTATTATTATTCTTATTGTGGCACCATCACGCCCGTGCTGCTGATTCTCGGACCTTCACCCAGCTCAGTGGACGGTGCTAATACAAAAAGAAGAAGTTAAACCAGGCGTCTCACACTCAAATGAGCGGGCTGGCACTGGAGGGCCACCTTAATGTTCAAGGAGTACAAAGTGTTTGTTTTTAACCCTGTAAGACCCAGGCCATCAAAAAATAACCAGAAAATTCTCATGTTTTGGAACTGAGATGTTTATAAACCCTTATAACAAAATCCACATTTTTTCTGCAGCATCATGTTGTGTATGATATATTTTTATTATATATTTTTTTTATCGCATCTGATACATTGGGCATTTATGGCTACTTTTTGTTAACAACAATGTTAATTTTAGACAAAAACAGTTTTGTCCATAACATTTTGAAATTATGGCACATGTTGATCATGATACAAAGGGTATTATAGGTTTAATTTCAAATATTATATAATAATAAAAACTGCAAATGTGAGTGCAAATCTTTTTTCCTCAGTCTTAATTAACTGAAGCTTTTGAGTGAACTAACAGTCAGACACATTAGTCCTCTGTTTCTGGACACACACATGACAGCACTTCTATCATTTAACACGATATTAATGCAGACACTTGTGTACACATTAGAGCTGTTGCACTCCACAACAAGTAAATCCTCCTAACAAAAAGGAACTTCCAGGACCAAACAGCATTATATGTTTTACGTGAATCTATGGTCCGGAACTGGAGGTGACACGGGCCGGAAGAGGCCCCTGTGCAGGGAGTTTGACACGCCTGAGCTAAACCGTCGGAAACACTTCTGACCTGTAGGTGGCGATGGCGGACCGAAGCAGCAGCACGCCGCAGAAAAAGAAGAAGCTGTGATGGCGCGGAGCAGCACGTAAACAGATGTGAACAGATGTTTTAGCGCATAGAAACAGGACAGCTGCTCCGACAGAGACCCGAGGAAGAGATGAGAGAGAGCGGAGTCAGAAGGCGCGACGGGACGGACTGAGGCTGCAGAGAGAGGCGCACTGACGGTTAGGGAGCTCCGCTAACACCGCTGCTTAACAGCTAACACATGCTAACAGCGGTTAACAGCTACAACCCGCTGCTGGAGGTCCGCCTCACCAGGTGTCCAGGTGGGAACTGTCCCCACACCGTGATTGGCCTCTGTCTCCATACACACAGAAAGACATGACATGCACATAATGTGCACATAATGTGCATGTCATGTCTTATCTTTTTCATTCAAACAGCTTTGGCTTTTTAATCCGGTTACTCGGGTTTACTTGAATCTCTCGTGTGTGTCACCTGTGAGGTTCAAGGTTCTTTATTTGTCACATGCATAGTTATACAAGTATAACACACAGTGAAATGTAGCCTGACACGCTCCTCGACATGTGCAAAAATTGTGTGTGTGTGTGTGGGGGGGGGGTGTAGAGGAAGAACATTATATATATATAGTATATACACTGGGTGAATGTGCAGTAGTAGCAGCAAGCAGGTGAATTCTGTACATTAATATGAATAGACATCTGACTATTTTACAGGATAGACAATATAAACATATTTAAAATTAAAGGAATTGAAATGTACATTGTTCCTTGGTTTAGTGTCTGGAAGAGTCCTGTCTCAGTCAATTATAGATGATGTGAGAGGGCGGGTGTGTGTGTTTAGGGCACGGATGGCTTGGGGATAGAAGCTCCTCTTGAGTCTCTCTGTCCTTGCCCAGAAGATGCGGAACCTTCTACCAGATTGCAGAAGTTGGAACAGTTTGTTGCCAGGATGGGACGGGTCCTTCAGTATCTGCTCTAGTCCGGCATCTCCTGGTGTAGGTGTCCTGAAGCGGGGGGAGAGCAATCCTGCAGCAGCGTTCTGCTGTACGGATCACTCTCTGGAGGGCTTGCAAGCTGTCACATGTGAACTGAAGAAAAAGTCACGCAAATCATCAGTCATGTATCATCTCACCCCGATACACGTGACATAGGGCTGCTCAATTAATCGAATTTTAATCTAAATTACGATCTGGGCTTTCAACGATCATTAAAAATGACTGAGCCAATTATTAGCCCCTCCCTCATGCTTTACTCTGGCGCTGCTCCGTGTGGCAAATCGAGCGCACCTCTCTGCGTTTCGAACACGTGTCACAACAATTAAGAGGACACGAGGGAAGCTCGGAAAGCTAAGCAGAAGTTATTTGGAGAGGAGAGTGACTGCCGTTGGTTGAAAAGAGAAAAACCTTCAGTGGTGTGGAAACATTATGGGTTCGAGTTCTTCATCATGGTCTCATTGATGAAGCAGAGGACCGTCCTGTCACATGTCTGTTTTGATAATTACGTTTGTTTGCAGACATCACCCCCCCACACACACTCACGCACACTGTTAGCCCCGCCTCCACTTCAGCCTCGCATGTTTTGGAGACGGGTGGAGTTCTAATTGTGTTCCGTTGGTTCTGATCCAGGTTCTGCTCTAACTGCTGAGTGGATCTGTGTGACCCATCCGAGTAGCGATGGCGGCACGTGGGCGGGGGCAGAGGATGCTAAGTTTCACTATGGAAACAGTCAAAGGAGATGCTCCACCTCCATCGGTGCAGCAGCCCACACCTGTGTTTCCTGTAAGAGACTCACCTGCACCACTCGGGGGGGGGATAAGCATCAGACTAGGTGTGACCTAATGATGTCACTCAGTTCCCGCCAATAACTCATGCTGATAATAAAACGCCGTGTTATTGGCTCAGACTTTGGTCGTAAATATTTTGCACTTGTAACTCAGACGTTGTAGTTGTGTAAATATGTTTTACAAAAACACGATTTATTTATTTTTAAGGTCTGTTTGCAGATACAAAGACCCGCAGCCACGACAAACACACAAATCCTCATCTATGCACAAACATAACATTTTCGGATATTTTGGTTACAGGGTTACAAACACCACAATCTGAGCCGCATGTTATCTCAGCACTCAGCTTCTTGTCCTCTCAGATTATTGATTATTGATGTGTTCAGGAGTTTGACAGAGGTCTGTCTTCCATCACTGATCAATAATCTGATCAATGCACACAGACAGGCTGTAATTTAAGTCTAAAATTAAGTCATTAAAGTGGTGAAAGCAATGCATGTTGGAACATCGCGTTAATGCCTTGCTTTTGTCAAGGTGATGGAGCGGAAGCCCCTCCCCCTGACAGGCGGGGAGGAGGCGGAGTATCTGTTGGCCCTGAAGCAGGATTTCAGAGGCGCCATGAGGAGTCTGCCCTGCTTCATCCAGCCGCTGGTGACTCACAGAGGTCAGAGGTCACACGTCACACTTCGCTCGTCTTCCCGCTGATGATTTGCAGCTTTATTGTGAAAGTCTCACCTGTGCTTCATGTTTCCTGTCCAGATGTGGAGCGTTACTCTGATAAGTACAACAGAAGCGAGCAGATGGACAAGCTGCTGGACTGGGCTCCAGGTGAGGCTCCGCCCACAGCAAGTGATTAATCAAAAATCAGCAGCATTCACTGTTTTTTCAGGATTTATCCAATCAGAAACCAGGTGAATTTCTGCACATGCTCAGTAGAAGAATTTGGGATAAAAATTTTCAGGTATAAAATAAATATAAATACAGGATGCAGTAGCAGTACACAGTCATACTATACAGTAATACTTCACAGTAGCAGTACACAGTAGCAGTACACAGTCATACTATACAGTAATACTTCACAGTAGCAGTACACAGTAGCAGTACACAGTCATACTATACAGTAATACTTCACAGTAGCAGTACACAGTGCTGTTAACCACTCCCTGTTTTCCAGACTGGAAGAGATTCCCCAGAGAGCTCCGAGTCCACGTCAGGCAACCTGCCAGAGACAGTCAGTACACTCTGATTACACTCTGTACTCTGATTACACTCCGTGTATACAGGTGATGGTCTGGTGTTTAGCGGTGCGCTGTGTGTGTGTTCAGGTGTATCGGCTGCCGTTCAGTCTCCTCCTCCTCCTCAGATGAAGAAGAAGGGTGTGAAGGATAAAGAGGAGGTGCTGCTCAAACTGGAGGTGAGTCTGGATTTAGTCTCGCTGTGAGTCACGTTCCACATTTCTGAGTTTGGTTGTTTCCGTCAGCTGCGTGGAGCGTTTGATGTTTAAAAAAAAATTGTAACGTTAATTCAGTTTGAAGGTGTTCCTAATAAAGTGTCACAGAGTTGGGTTTTATTGATCCAAGTTTACTTTCGGCTTCCTGCTGGTTCCACCTTAAACTAACGAGTCCACCTTAACTGTGCCAGAGCCTGGAGAAGAAGGAGGAGCAGGAGACGTCAGAGGACGAGGAGGGAGAGACGAAGAAGAAGCAGGAGGAGGAGGAGGCAGAGGGAGAGGAGGAGTACGACGAAGAGGAGTTCGAGGAGGTGAGACCAGATCGATCAGTTTATTCAAACGCTCCTCTAACGACGGTGTAACCAAATAATCCCAGATAATCTCTAAAGGTAGTTAATCTCATCATCAGTGATGTCACTGGGACGTCCTGTTCACACCTGCAGGATGTCTTCTGCTCTAAACTGGAATTAACTGGTTTAAAATGCAGCCAGTCAGAAACCAATCTGGGTTTAATCTGTTAATACAGTGGGGCAAAAAAGTATTTAGTCAGCCACCGATTGTGCAAGTTCCCCCACCTAAAATGATGACAGAGGTCAGTAATTTGCACCAGAGGTACACGTCAACTGTGAGAGACAGAATGTGGAAAAAAAAATCCATGAATCCACATGGTAGGATTTGTAAAGAATTTATTGGTAAATCAGGGTGGAAAATAAGTATTTGGTCAATAACAAAAATACAACTCAATACTTTGTAACATAACCTTTGTTGGCAATAACAGAGGTCAAACGTTTACTATAGGTCTTTACCAGGTTTGCACACACAGTAGCTGGTATTTTGGCCCATTCCTCCATGCAGATCTTCTCGAGAGCAGTGATGTTTTGGGGCTGTCGCCAAGCAACACGGACTTTCAACTCCCGCCACAGATTTTCTATGGGGTTGAGGTCTGGAGACTGGCTAGGCCACTCCAGGACTTTCAAATGCTTCTTACGGAGCCACTCCTTTGTTGCCCGGGCGGTGTGTTTTGGATCATTGTCATGTTGGAAGACCCAGCCTGGTTTCATCTTCAAAGTTCTCACTGATGGAAGGAGGTTTTGGCTCAAAATCTCACGATACATGGCCCCATTCATTCTGTCCTTAACACGGATCAGTCGTCCTGTCCCCTTGGCAGAAAAACAGCCCCATAGCATGATGTTTCCACCCCCATGCTTCACAGTAGGTATGGTGTTCTTGGGATGCAACTCAGTATTCTTCTTCCTCCAAACACGACGAGTTGAGTTTATACCAAAAAGTTCTACTTTGGTTTCATCTGACCACATGACATTCTCCCAATCCTCTGCTGTATCATCCATGTGCTCTCTGGCAAACTTCAGACGGGCCTGGACATGCACTGGCTTCAGCAGCGGAACACGTCTGGCACTGCGGGATTTGATTCCCTGCCGTTGTAGTGTGTTACTGATGGTGACCTTTGTTACTTTGGTCCCAGCTCTCTGCAGGTCATTCACCAGGTCCCCCCGTGTGGTTCTGGGATCTTTGCTCACCGTTCTCATGATCATTTTGACCCCACGGGATGAGATCTTGCGTGGAGCCCCAGATCGAGGGAGATTATCAGTGGTCTTGTATGTCTTCCATTTTCTGATGATTGCTCCCACAGTTGATTTTTTCACACCAAGCTGCTTGCCTATTGTAGATTCACTCTTCCCAGTCTGGTGCAGGTCTACAATACTTTTCCTGGTGTCCTTCCAAAGCTCTTTGGTCTTGGCCATGGCGGAGTTTGGAGTCTGACTGTTTGAGGCTGTGGACAGGTGTCTTTTATACAGATGATGAGTTCAAACAGGTGCCATTCATACAGGTAACGAGTGGGGGACAGAAAAGCTTCTTACAGAAGACGTTACAGGTCTGTGAGAGCCAGAGATTTTCCTTGTTTGAGGTGACCAAATACTTATTTTCCACCCTAATTTACAAATAAATTCTTTACAAATCCTACCATGTGAATTCATGGATTTTTTTCACATTCTGTCTCTCACAGTTGAAGTGTACCTCTGGTGCAAATTACTGACCTCTGTCATCATTTTAGGTGGGGGAACTTGCACAATCGGTGGTTGACTACATACTTTTTTGCCCCACTGTAACATGGGATTGATCTCGTGGATTTTCTGAGGCTCTAATTGATGTTTTCTTGGCGCCGCAGGAGACGGATTACATCATGTCATACTTTGATAACGGCGAGGATTTTGGTGGCGACAGCGATGACAACATGGACGAGGCTATTTACTAAAGCACCAGCACACATGACTTCCAGTCACATGTTCCTGCGGTCTGACCGAAGCCGAGTCAGACCGACGACGATGATGATGATGATGATGATGAGACTTTTTCTGAATGTTTTTAAACTTTTGTACAAAATGTAATCAGTTTTATTTTCTGCTGCTGGACCAATAAAAACAGCACGTCTCACACACGCTCTGTAAGCATTTCAGGGAACGTTCCTCCTGGAACCAGCTGATCGTGACAGGAAGCAGCAGCTGGTCTGAGGAGGACCATCGTTACACTCGTGCCTGTGGTAAAACAAAAACTAGTAACACACAGCAACAACAACAGCATCTGGTAACATCTAGCACCCAGGCCTCACAGTCAGAGGACATGCACAGCTGTGGAGGAGCGTCATATCAAAATAGACGGAGGGACATCGTCATTAGGAAAGGAGAGACTGAGGTCAGATGAATGGCTGCTTTCACCATGAGTCACTCGCTGTGTCCGAATTCAGGGGAAGGATGCTCAAAATGCCATATTTGGAGGCAATGACGTCACAGCAACGCGACGAAGGCTGTCCGAATTCAAAGAGCGACAAATGCGTCCTACTTTTACCCAAATGTTAAGGATGGGTCCGATGTATCCTTCGTGTCCTACTATATCCCAGGATTCATTGCGGGTCATACAGGAGATTTGTTCCTGATAACGATGGTGGTCGAAGAGGAAAACACTTTCAAATGTAAGTATATAAAATCTGGTTGTACAAAAGTTAAATTGTTGTAGCGGCCATGTTGTTAAGCTTTGGGCATCTGCAGAGACATGTTCCTTTTATTTAAATAACCGTAAACCAGCTTGTATTGCGGGTCCCGCGGTTTTTCATGTAATGCCACTTACATACAGCTAATTTAGCCCTGCGACAGACTGGCGACCTGTCCAGGGTGTACCCCGCCTTTCGCCCTATGACAGCTGGGATAGGCTCCAGCGCCCCCCGCGACCCTGAAAAGGATAAGCGGAAGCGAATGGATGGATGGATGGATACAGCTAATTTAGATTTTTTGAACTGGTGACATGTTGTGGGGAACAAAGACCAAACGGCTTAATTTATTAAAACGAGGAGAAAACGATCACCTCTTCACTGGGGTGAAGAATTGGGCCGCTACGGCGTGGATGTACAAGAATAAATCAATGTACACATCATATTCATATGAGTGCGGTCCTATTAACCCTCATGCTGCACAGCAGCGGTCCCCAACCTTTGTTGCGCCACAGACACGGAGCCTTTAAGGTGTCGCGGATGAATGCAACCACATAAAATGACCAAGACAAAAACTGGTATTTTGTAAATATAATAACAAACGTGAATGTACTGAGTAATTGTGTAACTTTATTAGCAGCGTCCTCCTGAAAATGTGCCAACATTGAGAGTAACGTCCTCCTCTCTGCCGCTTAATGCTCTCTGGTCGTTATGGTAACGTGTAAATATTTCTTTCAAAATAAGACGCACAACTACAACAAGGGAAAGACCCAGGGAAACCGAGTTAACGATACAAACCCTGAAAACCATAAATTTCACAGCGGAGCCTCAACTCCCGTGGCCCGGTACCACACCACTCACGGACCGCTGCTGACCTGTGATGTCCACACGGCATTCCTCTGGTGTCTGAAAGTCACCCCCTTGCAGGCCAGAAGACATGAGATAACTTTAAAGAATACAAAGTACGTCTGTGTGTTATCAAGAAGATGATTCTTAAGAACACAAGTTAATAAATGTGCAACTACTAAGAGTTGTTGTGGTGTTTTTATTTGCCTGCTGTCATCTTTGATTTCCTCTGCCTTTAGGATTGCAAGTATCCAGGCTCAGGAGAGGGGTCAGTGGGAAGCCCACTGCTGTGCTTGGCCCTGGTTTGCCCTCATGGATGAGGTGATAGGGCAGATGCCTTCCACTAAGCCTCCTGTCCTAATGTCCTCTCTCCCCGAGGACACCCCAGGGCCAAGCACAGCAGTGGGTGACCAAAACGACAGCGATGACGAAGCCACCTACGACAGGGAGGAAGAGGAGAAGATGATGAGCTGCTAGACCTCATCAGAGAGGACATGAGGCAGCAAAGAGAGGAGAGGAGAGCAGGGAGAGGATGGACCGACTGTTTCACTTCTAGAAAGATCAGTTCCCAAATGAGTTACGTACTGAGAAATGTGTTTATTTGAATATATTTCTTATGTGTTGCATTGGTTTGAAGGTTTTATGGTATTAATAAATTGATTCAAACAAACAGTAATTGTCACTGAACTCAATTTGATTTATGAACATAACTTTGAACAATATTACTTGGATATTTATTTGATAGCAATAAATAAATAACAAAAACAATTAAACAAGAATATTTCAAATACACAGTAAAGATGAAAAAACAATATTTACAGTTGTTCAGACAGGATTAAGCTGAGTGACCTGGTCCTGGACCGTTTCTTTTACAACTGTAATAGATTACAGGAAGTCTCTGGCAGTGTTACTGAAGATCAGACGTGGATGGTGCTGCAACTGAGACCTGCGGTTTGTCTTTTCTGGTCAGCGAGTGGAGAATCACACAGGGTGGTCTGCAAAGAGAGCTTTAGGATCCTCCCACTGTCCACTGCATCGTCCATCCACAGGGTTTGCAGGGCTCACTCGTGGCTGCCACACCACTCAGATGTTTTCAGAAATATGCAAGCAGGAGATGGTGGGTGCTGTATTATTAGTATAATACTTGTAACTCTGTAGCAGACAACAGTTTGATAAAGTGCTGTGTAAAAACAAACAAAAGATTAGATTCTATCAGTTTCAAAGATATTTAGTTTATATATGTTATATGACACAGTACATGTGTAAGAATGACCGATGTTGTGCCAAAAAATGATCGTCTGCCAAAAACTGATTTCCGGTTTTTGCCCTAAACTGATTGCTCGTATTTAACCTGCTATGAATAACTTGTTGTTTTATAATATGTGAAACATGTCAAATGTTTCCCTCATTAATGATATCAGGTCACTTTGAGCAACCAGCAACATTCCTGGAACAGGTAGAAGCTGCAACCAGTTTTTGGCAGTGACTTTTATCCTTTATTTATCCAGTTCACAAACAATCTTGTTGACATTAGAAATTTATTTTTTAAGAGTAATCTGGCCAAGAGGACAGCAGACAGCAAAACAAATATATCAATTGTATCTACATTAGAACCAGAGTTATAAAGATACTTGAACAACAGGTAATTATTGTATATATAAAACTCCTTTGTAAACCATGTTCACCGAAGTCTATTTACCAACATACATAAAGATATTACACATATTACACTTGGAAACATTGGAAATCAGTTTTGGCAGGCGAACACTTCTTGGCACAACGCCGGTAATAATTCAATTATCGTGTAATTAGCTGAGTAATTCCTAAATGCGTGTAGATTAAAGGACATTATTTTACCTGGACATGATTGTCTCTGATGAGCCTAAGGTACAAAACGTGCGGGCGACGACGATAAGGTTTTTCTAGCTCCTCGAGAATTAAAATTGTCCAAACAACTGAGCGACATTTCTGGGTCCATTTTAAAGTTTTCGCGCTGTGGCGCTAGCGACGGGAAAAACACGTAAGTAAGGGCGGAGTTGAAGACTAGGAGGCTGTCCACAGCCCGTCTGTTATGTTGGATACTCATTGTTTGTTCAATAAAGTTTCTATGGAGAAAAAAAGGGGGCTGCCCACAGCTGCTCACTTCCTGACTACCCGTCCGTCTAAGGACACTACCTTGTGACGTAGGTAGTTAGTGTCCTTATGAGCGTCCTTCCCCTGAATTCGGACACAGCAACTGCTAGCAGGTAAAGGTGGTTCGATCCCAGGCTGCCTCCTGGCTGCATAGCGAATATCCTTGGGCAAAATGCTAACCCATGTTTGCCTACTGGTGGTGGTCAGAGGGCCCGGTGGCGCCAGTGTCCGGCAGCTTCGCCTCTGTCAGTGCGCCCCAGGGTGGCTGTGGCTACAATGTAGCTGCCATCACCAGTGTGTGAATGGGTGGATGACTGAATGTAGTGTGAAGCGCTTTGGGGTCCTTAGGGACTGAGTAAAGCACTATACAAATACAGGCCATTTACCATTTACCAAAGTGCAACGTTTAGTGATCGGCACATGCTGCGGTGCAGCTGAGGACTAACCCAGCTCCGCCTGTACCAGCCTGATGTCTCTCTCACCATTACGGCCCACACTTTGGGAGTCACTGCACGGATTACGGTGCAGGTGAATGATGTGTCCCTGGACTCTGTCGTGCTTTGGAATAACGTCAGGTGTATGAACCAGGTGTACACCTCCCACAGGCTTCAGACCAGGTGTTTCAGCCTGGCTCAGATTCAGCAGATGAAGTTTACCGTAAAACACCATATTTGGAGGACAGGGTCACCGTCAAGGCTGGACTGGGACAAAAAATCGGCCCGGGCATTTTGACTAGAGACCGGCCCACCAGGACAAAGATTGAAAATGTGACGTCATTCAGGGGTAAAACCGCAAAGGATTCTGGGGACTTGTGGCAAGAGGTACTAGCGCACGCAGGCTTTCAATTGAACTCAGTTACACAGCGATAAAAAGAAACCCAAAAAATGGCAAGAAGCTGTTGTATTATTAACTGCAATAGCCGGTCGCATGACAGCCACGGGAAGCCGACGGGTAAAGAGATCGTTTTTTTTAATCGGATTACGTCGTTGAAGAGAAATTTTTTAAGCCATGTTTCCGAAGTAAGAGCCGACGGATGGTCTGGATATACCAAATATAACGTCCCAGAACACTCCAGCTCACATGTTAGTCTGCTCCAAATCAAATCAAATCACTTTTATTGTCACATCACATGTGCAGGTACATTGGTACAGCACATGTGAGTGAAATTCTTGTGTGCGAGCTTCACAAGCAACAGCTTCCAAGCATTTCCACACAGGTCAGTTAATGCGTCATTTTCATAACATAATTAGTGATATGAATGTGACAGGTGAGACCTGGAGACTTGGGACCGCCCCTGGTGGGCGGAGCTGGTCTTCGCTCCTTTCATAAGCGCAGGTGTGGGCAATTGGGTATTCCTTTGCAAACCTGAAGCTGCGAGTGCTTGGTCCGAGTTGGGCAAGTTGGTGTTTCTTAACTATGAAAGTCTGATACGCGTCCTCCGCTAAACTTCTGTTAGAACGGTAGGTTACACAAAA